TTAATACATTATTGATGCCCCTAAGCATGATAGGATTTTAATTGCTTAATTAACTCGGGAATCACACCTGTGTGGAATTACCTTATAATATACTTTGCATCCCTCTTTCACCTGTACCTGCATATACACAGGAATATTTTCTTTAGATCATTTCATCAGCATTACTTTTTTGTCTATATACATTTGAGGGCAGTCCTATTTGTCTTGACTTTTACTGATGTTTTTATCTTTTAAGATTGTTTGTATAACCTTATATGTGTAGAGCTCACTGATTAAAAGAGTTCCAGCTAAATAATGGCAATTTAAATTGGTGCTTGAGTCTATTAAATGTGTTAACCAGTGATCAAAACAAGTTTGATTTATAAATGTATAAAAAATAAAACTTCATGCAGCACTTAAATATCCCTTCTTAAATCAAAAGGATTTGTTGAAGCAGCTCCTGTTTCCTGAGAGTTGGCACTGTTGTAGAAATGAACTAATATATTCATGCAAATACTTTTAATTTTCTCACACTGGGGATTAATTTGGTATTAGGATCAAAGACAGACAGGTATTACAATTCTAAAAGATGTGCATTTTGTGTTCTGCTGGAAGACTTGACCTGTTATTTTTGGTTTGGTGAGGGAGGGTATGTTTTTCCTTGGCATTAATCTGTTACATACAAATTGTCCCAACACTGTCTAAAAACTGTCTGACTAATCTCAAGACCGTAATTATTAACCAAGAAATAAGTTCTATGGAAGGTGCATTTTCTCAGTATGCGCAAAAGTGATGCAACATTTGTCTGCCATCTTCCTAAATGTTGTTTTCTTAATTTACCAAAATCAGGATTTCAGCTATGCAAATGTTGGGATTTAGAAGTTTCAAATAAAGGCTACTTAGTAACAGAATGTAAAATACTCCTCACACTCCCCCCTGTTACTTTTGGAAAAAATTGCACTTTGAAGCGAAAGAGTTTAAAAATGACTTTTAAGCATGCAAATATGTCTGTCTTGAGTATATTCTAGACTGTTACTACAACATCACTAGTCTCTATTAGATTTTAGTATACCTGGAAACCTGGGTAAAATAGTTACAATAAGGGCAGTGAACAGTAAAGGTGACAATCTGTTTTACTAGAAACACAACAGAACATTGGGGAATAAAGCTTTTTTATTATCGAATACCCACTCTTTACAGTAATAGATAATTCTAGTCGTTTACGTCCTGTTTGTTTTGTATTTAAATATTAAATTCTCACAATTCTTAACCACAACAGCAGCTATAGTACTTTATCAATGAATCAGTGTGTAGCAGGTGAGGACTTACACTCTGCAACTAACAACTGGCAACCCATTGAAGCTAAGCAGGTGATGGAGAAAAAAAGACTGTCCTTCAGATGAGACATACAACCGAGGTCCTAACTCTCTGGGGTCATTAAATATAACATTTCTCGAAAAGAGTAGGGATGCTAACCCAGGTGTCCTGACCAAATTTCTCCCCCCGGCCTTTACCAATCATGGCCTCCTAATGCACAGCAGATCCAAAAGCTCGAATTGCAAAGGAAATGGTTGTTTCATGGCATTACAAATCATTGAATACTATGTGATATGTATGAGATCTGAGACTTTTTTTTCTCTCCTTGCAGCCAGCTTTTCTCATGGTTGTGTCTATATGTTTTATGGATTTATGTAAGTAGATATGTTGCTATAGCAGTATTTGTCTGTTTGAGAAATCAACATATTTGTTTGCATAAAAGCCAGCTGATTTCTAAACCAGTTTAGCTGGTTGCTTGCATGTGAGAACTTTTTATTCCTGGTGTTCCTGGTGTGGGGTTTACTTACCAGGGTCATGCATTCAACGTGATTGTTAAAATGTGAAATTTTGCACCACCATGTCACATCATCCATCTCCCCTACAGCCTTAGCAGCATGTCCTGGTGAGTGTTGCTGGTCAGCCTGGGACCTGTCCTGGAAGCAAATAGTTAAAAGAGGGTCTGAGAGCACACGACCTCTCTTGCCCCAGGTGGGGCACCTTTAAGGGGGACAATAGTCAATCAAGCATGTGTGTCTTTAGGGGGTGGGAGAAAACCAAAGCGCCTCAAGAAATCCCATGGAAATGTGGGAAGAACGTACAGACTCCTTACAGAAGGCTCCCCAAGCGTAAGCTGAGCCTGGAACCTAACAGGCAATGAGGCAGCAGTGCCTCCCATGCTTTTGACATCATTTCTAAAATTGGAAAGAAAGTAAAAAAACACACAGAAACACAATTCTTTAAAATTCCTATCAGGAAAAATAACTACTGTGACCTAAACTTTGTTGTTCTAGATTTTATAGTTTTATATACATATAGCATGTAGAAAGTGGACTCAATTTGAAATAAAAGTAAAATGGGCTGGATCGTGTGAGGTGGGGGAAACGTTGGTCACATTGTAAAGTGGTTTGATGATCAGTGATGAGCGTTTGTGTTACTGATTAAAAGCCATTTTTCCTCCTTGGTGAAACTTTTAAAGGCAAATTGTCAGAATCTGTTCTTCTAAGGAAAGCATGTTTTCACCTTCATCGTCTTATAGCAAAAAACACATTAATTAGGTTAACAAATACAAATGTTCAGAAGAACAATAAGAACATGAAACTGAATGTGAAATTATTTTCTTCATTTTGAGGAAATGTACGACAGATCATGCCCACTAAAATTCACATTTTAAATACACTTTTAAAATTAAAATGCTGGCAAATTACATTGTGGCGTTATTTATCATGCATTTCTTTTTCCTCTGTTTTCAGAGGCTGGTACTGAAAATGTAGGATAGAGGGATTTACTTTCAGTGTAACTGTTAGCATAATCCCACTTTGCCCCTTTTTAAATATGACATAAACACTGCCTTTTGAAATTTTTGTTCTTGGCTATTGAAATGTAGTAGAATAGGCTACATTGTGAAAAGTGTAGAACTCAAGTCGTAGGAAGTGATATTCAGGTTTTAGAACATGCTGATCCTCTTTTCAAATATTATGTACAGTTGTGGTCACTGCCTTGCACTGGGACTCCTGAGTAGCTCAGCTGATAGAGTCTGAGGCAGCCTGGTAGGATGATATAGGGTCAGCTATATCATCCAGATGTTGTGAGTCTGAGCCTCAGCACTACTGAGAATAGTCAGTAGTCAGTACTTTAAGTTTAATAAAAAACCCCTGTGACTTCCCTTCAGGGATTGGGGTGCCTGCGGGCTGTGCTGTGACACTGCTCCTGTATGTGCACTTTCTCATGTAGGGGTTGTAGCTGTGTGCCGAGATCTAAAGGCAGTTCTGCACTTCCACTTGGATATGTTATAGTATTTGGCAACTCTAAATAAAAACAGGACAGTGCTTCCATAGAAAGAATTAAAAGACTGACCAGATTAAATCTGAATCTGAAATGGATGTCTTATGTCTACAAGTTTAAGTAACTGAATCTCTTCAGAGATTACAAGGGTGCTTCATACAAGTGTTCAGGATCATTTCAACATCCTAGTTATTACAGTCTTCTACTTATGCTTCATTAATACTGTCTTTATTAGTCAGATGATTTGCATAGACAGCTTACGTTTTGTGTAGAATGAAATGGAGAAGGACATTTTTTATTGAGCATACTGGCTACTGCTGTCCATATTTTGTAGATCCAAACAAATGTTACAGATACAAGCTCACATAAAACCTAAGGGTATGTTATGAAAAAAAAAACCTACATTTCTCACTTCCACAGATTATATCAGTCTTTCATCATGAATATCATCATGAGTATTTAATGAAGTCTTTATATGCAGTTTAAAAATCCTTGTATATTAAAGTGCATGAATAACTCTTCTTTAGGACTGTCTTAGTCGAATGGGGAAAAAATCACATAATTTCTGTTCCTTTAAATTAAGTCTCATTGCTTTTTCATTAAAGACAGTAATAAATGGAAGGGATATAAGTACTGATGATAATTCATATTCTTCAGCATTTAAATGCTGCTGAGGTGATATATAGAAAGAAATCTTGTAGAAAAAATGTGTATTTACTTAGATGACTTCTGTTTTAAAAAAACTGTTATAAAAATACTCTGTTGTGACTGTCAGATCCATTGTCGCAGGTCCATCTGTAGTCGGATACAATGAAGAGATGTGGTGAGCAAATATTTAGTCATTCACAAATAGAGGTCTTAATTTTGATTTATTGAGTAATTTGTTGCTTTTGATGTAATTTTATTTTAATATCCAGAAAAAATAAGATAGAAGATAGACACTGACATTGATTATCGAGAAGGTGTTAATTCCTTGAAAGGATTGTAGTTAACTTGAAGCCTAACCGTTTTTGTTCCACCTGAGCTCTTGGCTGTGTAGGTGCTCTAATTAACTGTATGCCCTGGTGTGAGTGTCTGTGTCTGTGTGTACCCTGCGGTGGGCTATCATCCCGTCCAGGGTGTGCCTTTCCGCTATGCTTTCCGGGATAGGCACGGGTCCCCCTGAATCAAACCCAGCGCTTAAAATGGATGAAAGTTCCAGTTACCCATTTATACATCAGTACTGCATGGTAAATTGTCTGAAGCATTGTCTTATCTGACCTTGAGTGCACTGGAATAGTGTTGCTTCGTCAGTTTTATGGTGGCTGATAACCTAGAACCATACTAGGCAGGCATACCTAAATTTGTAAATCTAGCAATTTTAAGGACAGTTGTTACCAAAACTGTAAAAATGCAGAAGGGAGCATGTGCAGAAGAAAATATGTGATGATGAGGATATAACACTGTGGAAAACAGAATTTGCATTGGGCGATTTCAGCAGCTGATCTGATTAGGCTCAGCATTTCATTTTCTAGTTTTAATAATCTTTCTGGAATGCAATTACTGCATGATCTGGTATACCAGACAATTGATTACACATCTCCAGGAAGACTGCAAATCAGCAGTGCTCATTTGAAGGCTGAAAAAGTTAGGAATGTCCATTTTGAACAAAGAAAAAGTTGCCCCCTACCACAGTGTTGCCATTTGCTTTGTTTTGTCTGCAGGTGTGCTTTATCTGGCACGTCCAGTTCTGGGGTAGATTGGCACAGCCGGATTTTGCCCCTGTCAGGGTAAGTGGGCTCACATGAAGTTTTACCAAACAAAAGAGAGTTCTAAAATATTTTCATTTGCATTCTGGGAAAGAATGAAATTATAATAGATTGCTAACCGCTTGTAACATCGTTTTTACTGGGGGTTTCGGCACCTAGACTTGGGTGAAAATTAACAAATGAGCATTAGGGTCTACTTTACACAAACACATGCTAAAAGTTTCCACTCACACCTCTAATTTGGGATAGAATTACCCATTGGGTTTGCCCTCAGAAGATCTATATTTGCCTTATCAGACCAACTGTTTCTCTGTTTTTGTGATTATAAAAATTAAATATAAAATCTGTGCTTATTATTTAAGTTTGGCTGATTTAGCATTTATATTGATACATTTATTTGGTGATGGTGGGGTGTATGTGTCAGGGCCTTGTCATTTTAGAATTTCGTAGTATTGTATGTTTTAGGAACTGCATATCAGACACGAGTTTCCTACATATTATCGTATTCCTAAAGGTTTTAATGGATGCTTAAATATATTGGAACAAAATTACTGAGTTTAGTTAAGCAGCTTATACAGCAGAATCTGAAAAATTGGTTTTCGAGCCACCTTTGACAAGGGGTGCTCTGTACTGTGAATAACTGGGTTGATGAATTAAAAATCTTTAATCCTTCCAACAGCAAGATAGAACAAAAGTGGAAGGATTAAAAAAATGGTGCTCTTTTACAGGTGGCTCAATGTTCTTTAATTGTCTTTTGCTTTTAGCATGTTGTCGCAGTACTTTTTTAGTTTACAGTTAAGGCTAACATAGCTATAGTAGTTTTTGACTTCCAGATTTTGGATTTTGGCTTGATTTTCAATCCTGTCACATGCCAGTTGACCAAGCAAAGCTTTCTGCTTCGCATCAGACATCAAAAGTCTCCTCACCTGCCACATAATAGAATTTTTTTTCAGCGACCGGGAGCAATCACCATCTTGGTTGTGCCAGTAACACATGATAACTTTTCAATCAGCCATAGTCAATTGGTAGCTTAAAAGAATACTATTGGACCGTTCATTGATAAAATAGAAGGTATCAGTTGGGGAACAAATATTAGCTGCTTCTAGGTACAGGGGTGTGTCTGCAGTAGGCCTGGGTATGGTGGAGGGAGCCACCCTATGTTTCAATAACATCCGTCAGTGCATGAATTGTGAAGTGGTACCCCGAAAACAACATAACTATCAGAGGCTTCCTTTTCAGAAAGCAAAAACCCGGAGAGGGGGACCTGAGCCCTCTTCCTAGTTAGAGGGCACTGCTTCTGTTCATGAATAAGGTTGCCAATGTGTGCTATTATAACTGTATTCTGTATGTGGAAATTTAAGAAATATTAATGTAGGTCATCACTGCATCGGTGTTATTTCCTGGGGAATATAGGACATGAGAGTGTACCATTACATTACAGAATGTCTAGTCACTTCTTCTGCTTTTCTAATGTATATCTCTTATAATATATTTAATGTTTTTCAAATCTAGATTTTGATTTTGGCATGCCATTTAGCATATTCCTTGCTTCAGCTCTGTGTTTTTGTGGGTAGAACAGTATGCTTTATTTTTTACGTAAGCTATATTTGACTTCTGCTTTCATTTTGAACCAGCCCATTCCATAAAATACATGCCAGGCTAGTATCCAAAGGCTAGGGTCATTCTTGACAGCAGCGCTTCATAGTATGTGGTACATGAGCGGAACAGATTATCACAGGGACACAGTTTACAGCAAATGTGTACATGTTTTGCAGGAATAAGGTGTACATATAGTAATAAACTAGACATACTTAAGGAAAAATATTTTCTCCTCAAAAATAAGCTACTGGATGTGCAATATAAATAAAATACATTAAGAAATGTATTTTTTTCTTTTGAAATGAAGCATCTGGAGTTTCTTATAAATCTAAAACCTGTAAGAAGACAAAATCAGTTTTCTCTGAATTGATTTTCTTTTTTCTCTCCAAAATCATTTATATCCCTCCATTAGAACATCAAGACAAAAATATAGTGGGAATATTTTTGCAAAAAATCTGAAGGCTGAACCCCCTAGATAATTGCTCATCTAACTAGCTTAAATTGGTGTTTCATTTTTAGGAAACGGTTGTCTGAAGAAATACAGTCATATTTTTGTATTTGTTTTTGTGACAGTAATTGTTCAAAAACAAGTCTTTAGATTACAATTAAAAAACGGGGTTTCTGTAGGTACAGGAAGAAAGAAAACCATGTTTCTGCGACACGGTGGATTTGTTTTTAGAGTGTTATTTTGGTATACATCTCTTCTTCATAGTTTCTAATGAAGCATTTTAAACACATGGATGCTACAGTTTCTCTTTCTGTTGCTTTGAGCTTTGGCTGGGGTGTATTTTGTCAGGTGGCAGTGGTGCTTTTGAGAAACAGTACCACAGGAAGGGAACATTTTGAATTGGTAGCATTAGAACCCTTGCACATCTGTGCAAGCATACAGCTGTCATTCCTTCATGAGGTTATGCGTGTTGTAGTAATAAGGGGGTGCTGTTTGGTCTATGAGCCATTTCTGCACTTTCACATGAACCTCCAATTGTGATCCAGACAGCCAAAAAGATTAAAGTTCAACGATACGTGACCCAGCTTTGAGGGGTGTAGCAGGGCAGAACCCCTGATCCTCAATGTACAGCACTAGAGCTCTTCTTCATGTGAGTATACTTTAAAGCATCAATGCTGGGTGTCCTGTGACATTCTGTGCCTAATCCTGACCTCAGTTTTATTCTCAAAAGTATGAAATTTGTTGCAGTTGCTGGTTTGCAGTCCGTATTGAAGTGTGTGTGACAAGAGCACTCCTGTTTCCAGGCTTTTGTCATCATTACATTCATGACACTATGAAATGACTTGGGAGTTTTGTTTATTGTGGCAAATGTAGAAATTTTATCTGTTTGCCCTAATGATGGACACTTCCTTAAGTTCTACATTTCTGGGATGATGCTGAAGTCCAAAGTGGCCAATGGGCCAAATAATCTCATGTTATGTTCGTAAAAGAGTGAATGTGCTAGGTAGGGTTTGAAAACTTAAAACAGTCTTACTCAGCTGTGAAGCACAACTTAATCTCACACAATCTCACACAAGCACAACTTCTCTTCTCTTATTGACATATTCTCATACCATACATATGAAGAACCGCCTTTATCAAATTAGTCTTTATACAAATGTTATAGTTTGGTACAACGTACAGTACATTATTGAATGAAATTAGTCAGTCTTTAGTGCACAGGGAAACTGCTTAGCCAGGCCTCTACTGTGTTATATACTGAAAATGAAGGTCAAGGGTTATGGTGTGGTACCACATGTATGAGGTATATCCTACAATAGTATCTGCAAAGCTACTGACAGTGTGGAATCTGTATAATAGGTAATTATTAAATATTTCCTTCCGCTTTTGTTTAATTCACCTCATATTTGTATATTAGTACGTTATGACAATAAATGAGGCAATGAGTTAAGTTAATTCAAAGAATTCCAGCAAAATGAGCAAGTTTCTAAAGGTCCGACCTGAAAGGATTTCTACTGTGAGAATGTGCTGTAGTGTTTTTGTTTGTTTTTGCTGCTGTTTTTTGATTTATGAAAACCTTGCTTGTTTCAATTCTTTGGCAGTCTGCCAACATAAAGCATACAATTTATACCGATAGGTAGCCAGCTTGCAAAGATATCTGGTAGCTTAAGTTCAAAGGTACGAAGGCTTAGATGTAGTTAAAACACAGATGAAGGAATAAACAAAGCTGACAGGTGATATTTTCATGAGTGCTCTCATGAACAGAATGTTCTGAAAATAAACAAGTGTTTATTACATTCTGTATTTTTAGAGATCACTAGTACACTGTCTGTACCACTTTATCAAATACTCAGTGTAGTTATTTTGAAAGCACGTGTAACAAAACAAACATGTTATTTATCTAATAGGTATTTTAGGATATTTTCAGTTTGTTGTTTTCTTTTTACAGGAAAAATATGGAAGGGCTGTTTCCATAGCACCAGGGTGTACAGAGACATACAGAGACGTTCTGAAGCCAAGTCAAGGTGGTGAGTAAAAGTAATGGCATTTGAAAAGTATTTGGTGGGCTGGAACCTCATGAACACTTTATGGCTTGAAGTATCTGTTGGATGAGGAGCTGTTAAAATAAGACAGGAATTCAGTTCAAATCAAATTTAATTTGGCACTGCTACACAACGCTTTTACAATGGTTATTTGCGAGAGCAAATGCTGTTCTATGTATTATGTGATGCAGTGTGTAAACATTTTGCATTTGCATTTCATTGGTCTGTGTTTCGAGGGATCTGAAAAAGAATGGCCTGGAGAAACGGGGGAAGAGGTGGCCACCCCAGAATCCTTCTTGGACTCTAAACTAGCCAATGAAATCTCAGAACTAATTAAAAACAACCAAAGAAACAACCAAAAAAGGGAAGGGATGCCACTGTGATTCTTGGAGTGCTTGCTGCTATTACAATGTGGTTTTTACCAAGTGGTGATCTGTGAACTGTGCTGTGTATAATGAATGTGTGGAATTAAATGGAAATTATGGGTTGATTGAATTTATCAGACGAAAGACGGGCCATGTTCAGATAATTTCTTGGTTTTGTTTGTAAAATTATTTATTTGATTGCTTATTGAAAAACATTGGACAAGCATTCTGCACTTCTCTTCCTAGGGTACCTTACATTGGAACATTTTGTGTCTTGTCAGCTTAAATATTTTTTGTCTCACTCTCGGGCCTGTTTTTATATACAGAACCTCAATTCCATCTTCTTACTAAGTTTGAGAATGTTCAAATTAAATGACAGAACTGGATGAAACATTTCTTTCCTTCTGTATCAGTAGTTAACCTGAAACCTTTTTTTCTCACTTCTTCTCTCAAGTGAGGGTTCATTGATAGCACTGTTTTATACTTTATCTTACTGACAGGTAACATAATACACTTCTATAAGAAATTACCTTTTGAGCAAATTCCTTTTGCATCTCTTTGAAACATTTGTAAACGTCCCTTGAATCCATTCCAAACCTTTGTATAACATTTTTTATGTACAAAATAGTCTATTAAGAAGGGTTCACATCATTGTTTGTCTGAATCTGGCGGCATTTTTATTTCTTTTTAAATGAAACTTGTTTAAGTGTGACAAAAGAAAAAAGAAAGGATGACCGCTTAATCATTACCTGCTTTAACAGGGAGACAGCGCATTTCAATTGAACATGGAAGGTTTGTGTGCTAATGTGTGGGTGCACTGAAGAGATTTCTGAGCACCAGCATGTCATCAGCTTTTCAGATTCTTCCTTCACAGACCCATATGATAACAGAAGTATTTTGTCACTAAGGCAGTGTAAAGGAGTATAAAGAATCTCAGCAAAGAAAATGTGAAGTGTTGATTATGTGACTGTCATGCCCTGTTATTTGTAATATGGCCTGACACGGGCTTAAGCACAAGTACTGTTTTTGAAGCCTTGTCAGACAATAAACTGCGATTAAAAAAAACAATAAAAATGCATTGACTCAAATATGCCGGTTTGAATGTCATTAAACAAGGTTTTTTGGGTAATTATATATTGTCTTATAATGATCTAAATCCACACAAAAATAGACCTTTTCTATTTTCAGATTGATAAGAAGCTAAACCCATTATGTAACGGAGCTATTGAGAACCAAACCAGGCCAAAGACTAAATTTTTCAATGTTTGTAAAGAAGTAAAAAGAAAGGTTGCTATGCAGGTGGGTCACTTCGTTAGTGGTGTTAACCTGTTATTTTGCAATGCTTTGATTATTCTATGTAGATGAATACCAAATTAAAAAAAAGGAAATAATTCTATCAAGGTGATCTTGCTGAAGGATTCATTTATGATTTGGCGTGTCCACTGAGCTAGTACTGAAAAACAATACCATGTTGTTTGCAGTTCAGCCATTTGGTTTTGAAATGGAAGACAGCACTGAGCTGCTCATTCAGATCTTTTCTGCTATGCGCTAAGCAATTAAGGTGAACTAGCATGAACTACTACTTTGATTATTTTTCTATAAAAGGAGAGTGTTTTTAATTTGTGTTACTTTAGTGTATTAGCAATTGTGACCTGCATTCTTTGTTGATGAAGTAATCTCTGCTAATATTGAAGGCAGCTTGAATATTTTGACCTGTGTCTCCCAAGATGGATTCATTTACCAAACTTCTTACCTGTCTGATAAAATGTTTAAGTTCTCTTGGCAGAATTGCAATTCAGAATCAGTTTTTGTGTTGTATAGTTTCACATTTATGTCTTTTCTCTTTGTATTTTTTAACATAATGATTGTCTTAATGTAAGGATGGGTCCTTTAGTTCACTATGTAATCTCTATTTCCATATTTTGTCATGTATTCAAGTGGATATTTATCATGACAATAATGAAAGCTGTTGCTATCAGTCTGGGTTTTTTGCTTTTTGAAATACATTTAATATGTGGTGAGCAGTCATTTATGGTGTGCAATGGCTTGTTTGTAGTAGTTTTCTGGATATGGGTTGCAATTGACCATACTTTCCTAATTGCAAAAAAAATAAAAGCATGCATAGATGGAATAAAAAATGGAAAAGAGAAGTTTCAGGATAGGACAGTTTGTAATAAGGTTTGTGAACTGAATTAATGCAGAATACAGGTCTAGCTGGCAGCACAGTCCAGCCGATCCTTTACCAGGTCAACTTGTGAGTGACCGTGGGCTCAGTCCTTTCACCTAGTGTAAACAGTGCTTAAATGCCATTTCCTAATCAAGTCAATGCAGTTTATAACCGAAGTTCAAGATCAAAAGGCTAACCCTCCATCATGCTTACCGAGTATAAACACAGATAATGAGCACCTCTTTACTAGTGCTCCACATTTTGATGGGCCCTAGGTCCCAAGGCTTTTCACACAGTGGGGGTTCTGATAAACTTGTCTTTGCAGACTGACTGTAGTTCCTTAGCCAGGCAGGTTAAAGGGAGATCTGATTGCTCGTGCACTAGGTTTAATCCACTGTTGAATTCTTAGATTTGTAAAGGGAACAATTGTTATGCTAATAAGGAATATTTTGCAACTCCAGGATGAGAAATTAATAGTTTTCATAAAAACAACATGAAAAGATGACCATGAAAATAATGAGAACATAATTTGACGTTGCTATAATAAAACAATCAAAGTTGTGCTTCTACAATTTAACAGAAAAGGAAATGCTTTCCAGTGTTTCTCAGCTTGTTTTTATTTTAAATTAGCATTGAAAGGTCATGTAATGCCATGAATATGGTGGCCTATGTGACTTTTGTAAACTGCTTGATTAAAATATAAAAGAATGACAAATAAAGGGGGTTTAAATATTCTAACCTTTCAGCTTTTAATTGCTGCTTGAATTTGCTTGATAATCCATACGTTATTGATAAATCTACAGTATTGTCGAAAACCATAAAAAAATTATACTTCATATTTTTGAAGTGTTATTTGGTCAGTATTTCAATCCTTATTAGAAAGGATTTGGGCAGTTTTTTATGCTGCAGGTAATCTATCACTTTCTTTCTGTAAAGTGCGTTGACTTAATAATATTAAATCCAGTTAGTTAACAATCATTAAGTCTGCTCATAAAAACGTGTGGTATAAACTAAATATTAACCATGCAATTCACTCTTGCCCACTTCACCAGAGCGAAGTGTTTTCTATATACATACTGGAACACTCTAATCCAGTTTTGTCAACAGATGAGTGACTCCCTTCTGTATCAGCAGTTAATGTGAAACCTCTTTTTTTTAAAGATAAGAATACAAAAAAGAGAGGGATCATAAGTAACATTGCTGTACATGTTTTCTTTCTATAAAAGTGCTGTTTTAACCTTGACCGGTTGTGTTACACTTATTCTGATTCAGCTAAGATCAGTCTTGGAAGTCTTATCATAAAAAAGCAAAGTGTTTTATTTATACTTAAGTGCAAGCCAGTCTGCTTAGTTGGCTATTATAAGAGGTTCCAATATCCCTGTGCAAATTTGTAGACCACGCATTCCCAACAGCTCTTATTACCTTTTTAAGTATGAAAAGGCAAAAACAGAAAGTAGTCATCTCGCTGCACTTCATTACTTATACGTGATACTTTACAACATTACCAGAAACTAAACATTTGTTTCTGTGCTGTAACCTCTAGGGTCAAAACACAGAAATAGTTTGTACATTCGAATATAGCCTAATGTTGAAAACATTGAAACTACATTGGGGATGTGAAATTGAGATATGCATTTCTGTATCAGAGCTTTTTTATTACATATTATATGGATGATCCTGTTCCACCATGCTACCCCAAACTTTTTGGCATAATATCAACATCCAAACTTCCTTTACACATCTTTTAGGTCCAGTCTTGATTAGATCCCATTTTGAACTCCAGAGCAGGGTGGATGCGTGTTGAAATTAATATCCTAATATTCCTCTTCACACACCTGATGTAGAGTTAAAATACTTGCACCTTAAAGATTTGTATATTCGTTTTCAATTTGTCAGGTACCCAATTAAATCCTCAAACGTGAACTGGAAGTGAAACCATACTCGTATGGGATTTCAAATGAGCATGATATAAAAAAGTAAATTGTCTTGATGACTTAAAATTTCATTCTGGTGAAAACTTTTAGTGTTCATTTAAAAACATCTTAAGCAAAATGTACTTTATAAATCTGGTAATTTATAGAGGAAGTGAAGCTTGTTTAAAAAATCAAGGTGAAAAAGGGTTTCTGACGGACATTTTCAATAATGCCAAATTTCTATGAAAGCAATTCATCTGTTTTTCTCTCTTTAACCTTTGCCTCCCTGGAAGACAATCTCAGAGTGGTAGCACTGGACAGTCTTGAATCAGTGGAACGCAAGAAAACTTGCACTATAGTGATTTAATCCCTTTCACTGATTAAGTTCAGTCTAGCTGTAAGAAGGATGGGGATGAAGACCAAGGAAGGAGCTGTTTAATCTTTATCCATCCATTAACCTCTACACATATTCTGTGCCCGGGATGAGGCTTCTGGTCAATCTCCCTTCATAGACATCCAGGATATGATAATAAAGGTACT